ACTCTCAAAAAAAAAAAAAAAAAAAAAAAATCAGGGTCATAATAGCAAAACAACAACTAATCCATCAAAGAATGTTAGGTCACAAGACAGTTCTTCCAGGCTCTTGATGTTTAACTAAATCTTCTGAAAATTTGCCTAGTCATGTGTTAAATTAGTGGTGAGAGAAAAAAAAAAAATCAACCTCCATAGTAAATGATCAAATGACTATAGGGAACAGTAATTTTCAAATTTTTCAATTTTAAAGCTTATACTTTAAAAAAAATTTTTCATACCATGAACAAACTATCCCCTCCCTCCAGAAAAGCCAACTTCTATTATCACTAAGGGCAAAAAGTTAAGCACCATAATAATGTTTAATGACACTAAATATTACTTGGCTTACCTCTGGAATTCCAGAGCCACAGGCATATGGAGCAAATACCTTTACCAGGGAAACTGCAAGAAAGGCAAAACTCAAGGCCCAGAAGATGTACATTATATAGTTCATGATGTAAGAACCAGGACCCTAAAAAGAAAATAGTTCAAGAGTACGAATTTAATTTACATTGCACCTCTAATGCAAATGCTTGTCAAGAAACTTCAGTAAATGGCCAGGCATGGTGGCTCACGCCTGTAATCCCAGCACTGGGAGGTTGAGGCGGGTGGATAACCTGAGGTCAGGAGTTCGAGACTAGCCTGGCCAACATGGTGAAACCCCGTCGCTACTAAACATACAAAAATTAACCAGGCATGGTGGCGCGCGCCTGTAATACCAGCTACCCGGGAGGCTGAGGCAGAAGAATCGCTTAACCTCCAGAAACAGAGGTTGCAGTGAGCCGATATCATGCCACTGCACTCCAGCCTGGGCAACAGAGTGAGACTCCACCCCCGCCACCAAAAAAAAAGAAAAGAAAAGAAGCTTCAGTAAAATGTGAAAAAGTCTCCTGGTTTATTTCCACAATAATGAAAACTTTATATGAACAAAATATTTAAGTAGAATCCAAAAATTAATGCCTATATATACAAGGAGTCGTGAGCCCATTTAATCTTTTTCCTAATCCCTAAAGTCTTGGGACCAAGACATCTCAGCTATACTCAATCTCTGCCTACAAACCACTTTTTGGAAACAATGGTGAAAACAAATTGTAACAGCACTCAGATTTCATTCTGCTGCAACTTTCCAGAAGATCATTAAACTCAATTCAATTAAGCCAGGTGAGAAACAGCATACTACTCATGTTAGCGCAAATATATACACTTTAGCTCTCAAGTTCAGCTAAAACAAAATTTAAAAAATATATCCATGTCATCATGTAAAAAATATACATATAATATCCTAAGTTCTAAAATGTTCTTTGTAGATCATAGTAAATTAATCAAGTAAATGCTATAATGCCACAAATAAAAATCTGTTGTCTTCAATGTATCTGTGTAAAAGGTTGATTTTACTAAATTATTTGATAATCATACTTTCATAATTCAAACTTCCCAATCTTAGTAATACATTAGTTTTAATAACTTGACTTCTTAGTAACTTTACACAGATCTTACTGCAATAACTATCACTTCTTTTCTACTACAGCTCAAATATATTTGCATCACAATCCAGAGGATTTGTTATACGACTATATAGTTAATACAAAAGCTTCTTGAAACAATACTGCACTTAATTCTTTCTTGCTGCAGTGTGTTGAGGGTGGATCCATTTAAAGTGTATGCAATCATCTAATATGTGATTAATTCTATAATTAAATGAACTGGAAACATTTTGCTATATCAATTATTAATTCACCTTGAGACAAAGCAAGACTTACCTCTGCTTGACCTATGATTAATTCTGCCCATGTTTTCCACTGTGGACATTTATCCCTCTCTTCAAATGTTGTTTCATTAGATCCCCAACAGCACTGTTCGTGGTTGTACCACAATGCACTAAGGCAAATGCCCTCCTTTAGGTCAGTCATCCAATCGGCAGCAATGTCTATTAATCCGGCCAACGCCCCTGTAAAAATATGTTGGGGACGGTAAAAAAAAAAAAAGTCAATTTTTTTGGGAGTCGAGAACAATCTAGTTAAAAGGCAAGTGGAAAGCAGGAGACTTCTAAATAAAGGGTCATTTACGAACTACATATAAATTTAAGATCTTCGAATTTTAGTTATAAACATATTTTAAAACTGTAAACAGTTCTTTTACAATAAAATTGCTATTTTTGTTTGGAATTTTAAAAAGTTACATCATTCAAATTAATTGTGATTGGAAAAACAGTGTTTAAAAGATACTAAAATATCTTCAAAAGGCAGGAGGTTCACAAATCTAATTTTCAATAGATAATTAACAGACTTATGAATGATGTCAATCTCATTAAAATTTCATGTCCATTAGAAACAATTACTGAAACTCATAGGAGTAATATTTATATTTCTCTTAAATTACAGAAAACCGTATATCAAGATTATTTTACAGTGAGAATATAAAAAATACACAAATTTAAGGTCAAATCTGGGTCCTTCTTATATAAAAAGATCAGTGGGTTACATACACAGAGGCCATAAAATTATTATATATGCCAATTAGAATTATCAGTACTTTATTCTCTACAAGAATTTTAATTTTTGTGGTCTTCTGAACATAATCTTCCATCATGGAAGCTGAAAGTGATTATAACAGTGCTTAATAGTTGTTTTCAGGTCCTTAACAGCTCTTTCTTAAAATCTCACACATTGGAACTTTGTGGCCATGCTGCATAGCAGGATGAAGGGGATAGGTCTTGAGCTAGAAGGCTTTAATTCAAATCCTGGTTTAGCCATTTACTAAGCTGTATGACCTCAGTCAGACTAAGTTACTTTTCTTCTGCTTCAGTCTCCTCATCTGTAAAATGGTGATAATGACAGCAGTGGCACCACAGGATTGCGGTGAGGTTTAAATACATATAAAGTTTTTAGAACAGTGTACGACACATAGGAAACAATAAATATTAGCTATTTATTATGATGTTAACATCAAAAGATACTTTGTTGATCATCTGATCCAAAACACTTATTTTACAGATGTAGAAACTGAGTCTAGAAAGATCAACCAAACTGGATAAACACGTAAAGTGACAGAGCCAAGACTAGACATGGAAGCCTCCTGCCTCGTAGTCTTATATTTAAGATTTTTTGAAGAAGAGAAACAAATGCTTTTTAAAATCCAATGGTACCTGAGAAAAAATTGAGGGAAGGAGGGAAGAACAATTTATACTTCTGTTAACTAAAAAAGGATTTCTTGAAAAATTTTCTTTACCTGATGCCAATCCTGTTAGTGTTACTACTAGCCATCCTGACCACGCATCATACAAACTTTTTGTCATTTCCCATGCTGATTCTTTCTTTTTGCTGTTGATCTGAAATTAGAAATGTTTATGCTTCATTTTTCCAACTACGAATAGAAGCCACAATTCTAGAATCTAGCAATTTTTCTCATTTACCATACATAGAACAGTAATTTCTGAACTAGTCTGGGGCAAAATCACTACATTATAGATAGTTGTTATACCTGTAAACCAGACTACATGTCTTTACCCAAGATCTGCTTTTATTTTTTATTTAAAAAGTTTTTTTCTTTTAATAAAAGAGGCAGGGCCTCATTATGTTGGCTAGGATGGTCTTGAACTTCTGAGCTCAAATGATCCACCTGCCTCGGGCTCCCAAAGTGCTGGGATTACAGGTGTGAGCCACCGTGCCCAGCCAAGATCTGCATTTTAATAAGAACCTTGAGATTTGAATGCAAAGGGTCCACAAACTATATAAAATCTGACCCAGATTGTTTTAAATTGAATCAAATTTGAACTTCAGTTGGTACACATAACTAACTTTTACATATGTCTTCTATAAGACAATATGGTTTGAATTATCATTCTCTGGTCCTAGCAGTTAAGTAGATTACAATGTTCTTTAAAAGACAGGATCTGTGTATAATAATACCATGTCCATAAATACAATGTATTATAGAATAATCATGTGGACAAAGGGACTCCCTAAAACTTATAGGCCTTTTAATATGCAGGTTTGGAGAGCTCCAATTCCATTGGTAGAATCCAGAGGCTCTTTCTTTACTGTGTAAGGCAAAAGTGTCCTCTACTGAATATAGTGTAGGAAGTTAGGAGATTAACAAGAGTAATAGATTTGATCCAGAACTCACTATACTAAAACACAAGAAGGTAAGTCTCACCTCTCTTACTAAGAATGTACTTCTAAACCTAAATTCCTTACTAGTCAACACCTCTCTTCTGTTCTACTAGGATTGTTGCTTTAAAAAGCCGTATCATCGAACAGGCGCGGTGGCTCATGCTTGCAATCCCAACACTTCGGGAGGCCGAGGCGGGTGGATCACGAGGTCAGGAGTTCGAGACCAGGCTGGCCAACACAGCGAAACCCCATCTCTACTAAAAATACAAAAATTAGCCGGGCGTGGTGGTGGGTGTCTGTAATCCCAGTTACTTGGGAAGCTGAGGCAGGAGAATCACTTGAACCTGGGAGGTGGAGGTGGCAGTGAGCTGAGAGCGTGCCATTGCACTCCAGCCTGGGTGACAAGAGCTAGACTCCACCTCAAAAAAAAGCCATATTTTCAGCCCAGGACTTCAGTGCTCAACTGTTCTGAAGGAGGGCTACAGCTGGAATTCAATGACCCAGTCTATTTCAAGCATTGGGTCTATTTGAAGTCACAATGCCCCACTAAAATGACACAGTAAGTTCTAAGTTGAACAAGGCAATTTTATCCCTTCTACCCTATAAGCAACCAAACACAGATATTAACCATTCTTTAGAATTAGAAATAGGTTATTTCTTTCAAAAATAATCACTAAACTCCATGTTGCTTTTCCTCAATAAAAATAAATAATGTGTAAGAAAACATGATAATATTAAGCTGTTTTCAGACTGAGTCACCACTGTTTTCTTTATATAACTGCTTGCACAGCACCACAGTCAGTCACTTAAATAGTTGCTTGATGGAGTGTATCAAGTAAAAAAGATGTATGTACAGAGAATTCAATCATCGCCATTCCTAAAAATCTGGAAATCATTTAAATGTTCATCAATACAGCATCAGATAAATAAATTGCAGTATACCTATGTAATGAAAAATTCTGCAGCAATTAAAAAAGAATGAGATACATGTAGTGTTACACAGGAAAAAAGCAAGATGGCTAAAAGTATGCTAAAAGACAGGAATAGAAATATTCATGCTTATATTTTTAAAAATCAGAAGATAAACCATAAAGGTAAAAATGTAAATTATTATAAGGGGAAGAAGACAATAGGTTGGATGGGACAGAGACAGAAACTAGACTTCTTTGAACATACCTGCTTTGTACATTTAACTTTGGAACCATGGAAATACTTCATATATGTATAATAAAACAAAACTAAATCTAAAAAGCAAACCTTAAAAATGGAAATAAAGTTAAATGAATCGAAGGTGCATCTAACTGGTAACACAATGCCACAGAAGAAACTATTCCAAGGGACTTTACAACAAAGTAATTTGTAGATGCAACTGTGGTGGAATAAATAAAGGATAGGCCAGACGCAGTGGCTCATGCCTGTAATCTCTGCACTTTGGAAAGCAAAGGCAGGAGAACGGTTTGAGGCCAGAAGTTTCAGACCAGCCTGGGTAACATAGGAGGACCCAAAAAAAAAAAAAAAAAAACAAAAAACGGCCAGGCACGGTGGCTCACGCCTGTAATCCCAGCACTTTGGGAGGCCGAGGCGGGTGGATCACGAGGTCAGGAGATTGAGACCATCCTGGCTGACACAGTGAAACCCCGTCTCTACTAAAAACGCAAAAAATTAGCCGGGCGTGCCAGCAGGCGCCTGTAGCCCCAGCTACTCGGGAGACTGAGGCAGGAGAAGAATGGTGTGACCCCGGGAGGCGGAGCTTGCAGTGAGCCGAGATCGCGCCACTGCGCTCCAGCCTAGGAGACAGCGAGACTCTGTCTCAAAAAAAAAAAAAAAAATTAGCCAGGGATGGTGGTGTGCACCTGCAGTCCCAGCTACCCGGGAGGCTGGAGGCAGATTACCTAAAATATTTCAGTAGGCATATTGTTGGAGATGGTGTTGGTACTGTTATTCTGACAATGTTGTATGTGTGTATTATGGGGTAAATGAAATGACTATGTTTGTGATGTTCAGATTTTTGGCATGACTTAAAGGAAAAGCAGATTTAAGAACTAGAGGTTTAGCCCCACAGTCATGAATTCAAATTAGAAGAGTCATATACACTTAGGAGGCTAGAAACAATAGCCAACCCAGAAGCAACAAGTATCACCTAATGCCCAGATGTACCTATATTACATTTTCCTTCAATGGAATCAGAGAGCTCCTTGGTGAAATGGCTGATTCCAGGTTTGCTGCAGGAAATGTCTATGATGAATCAGGATTAGGATTAGGATTATCTAAGGACATGACAAAGGACACAGATAGCAAACTAAATAAGCTCCCACTAATCTAAAATGGAATAACATGAACATCAATAAGAATAATAACAGTGATGATTAAAACACAAATATGCTTAAAACCATGAGTCCATGAAGACACAGAAACAAACAACAACCAAACAAGCAAAAAATATCATTGGTCAACTTTGAGGATGCTAAGGAACCTAGTATTTCAAGGTATCTCCCTTTCCTGTACCATCTTTACTTCAGGGAATCCAAATGGTTGATGTGGGGTAAACTCTCTATAGAAATATGCAAGCTAATAAATAAAAAAGGAACAACAATTAAACTGCAACCATTTTGTAAAATACTGAAATAGTAATATTTGAAATTACAGAATGTCAATTTGCTTGGAAATCATCTGGGGTAGGAAGGCTACAAGTATAACAAAAAAGTTCACAGAAAAAAAGAATTAGATTGGGTATATGGCCTGACATAGAAAGACTTTAAAATTTAATGTAGGCTGGGAGCAGTGGCTCCCACCTGTAATCCCAACATTTTGGGAGGCCGAGACAGGTGGATCACTTGAGGTCAGGACTTTGAGACCAGCCTGGCCAACATGGCGAAACCCCATCTCTACTAAAACTACAAAAATTAGCCAGCGTGGTAGCGCACACCTGTAATCCCAGCGACTTGGGAGGCTGAAGCACGAGAATTGCTTGAGCCTGGAGGGCGGAGGTGGCAGAGAGTTGAGATCGCACCACTGCACTTCAGTCTAGGCAACACAGCAAGACTCTGCTCAAAATAATGATAATAATTTTTAAGAACAATAGTAAGTATATAAATGTGTGGAATTTTCCAGCTTTAAAAAACTTCATTTATACAATAAGCATGGATCAAAATATTGAAAAATATTTGATTGGTCTAGGAAGAGAGGTGATTGATAAAATTACCTAGGACACATACTGGCTGCTTCATATATTGCTATACCATTTGCAATGTTTTCAAGGACTGTACACTAACCATCTACACATTCAGAGAAAAAAGTGGTTTTTGTTTGTTTTGGAGGGTGACAGGGTCTTGCTCTATCACCCAGGTTGGAGGGCAGTGGTGCAATCATAATTCACTGTAACTTAGAACTCCCAGGCTCAAGGGATCCTCCCACCTCAGCTTTCCGAGTAGTTAGGACTACAGGCGCAAGACACTACACCCAGCTAATTTTTGCTTTGTTGTGTAGAGATAGAGTCTCCATACATGTCCAGGCTGGTCTCAAACTCCTGAGATTCAGCGATCCTCTGCCTCAACCTTCCAAAGCACTGGGATTATAGGCATGAGCCACTATGACCAGACTGTTTTGGTTTCCTTTGATCTCAGTTTTCTCTAAAATTTTATGAACATAGTGTCACAGATACTATGTTATATACTATGTTATTATTTTTTATTTTTAAAAATTCTCAGTTTTAGTGTCTTATATGGTAAATATCTATTGACAAAAACCACGTAAACGAAGGCTCCTTGGGGCTCTTCAACATTTTTTAAGAATTTAAAGGGGATCTGAGACCAAAACATTTAAGAATCATTAGATTAAAGCACTGATTTCATGTATTATATTTTATTTTTAGATATGCCCTAAAGGTAACTATCATCTGATGAATCTCAGAAGCTGTTACCTATCATAAACAATATAATTTGAATTTCAGGTTTCACACACATATATATTAATATGGAAGCTTATAATTTGTGTAAATAGTCATTTTTACTGACAAGTAAATTTCTAACACCAAAATTATATAGGGCCTTTTGAGATTTGGAATTTTATTTTTCAAAAAGATTTTCTACTCTGGGAGGCTGAGGTCAGCCAATCACTTGAGGCCAGGAGCTTGAGACTAGCCTGGCCAAATGGAGAAATTTCATCTCTACTAAAAATACAAAAATTAGCTTGGCATGATGGCACACACCTGTAATTCCAGCTACTCAGAAGGCTGAGTACAAGAATTGCTTGAACCTGGGAGGCAGAGGCTGCAGTGAGCTAAGATTGCACCATTGCAATCCAGCCTGGGCAACAGAACGGGCGATAGTCTCAAAAAAAAAGAAAAAAAAAATTTTTTTCTTTAAAAACGTATTTTGTATAAAAACTAGCCAGGCATGGTGGCACATGTTTGTAGTCCCAGCTACTCAGGAGGCTGAGGCAGGAGAATCGCTTGAATCCAGGAGGCAGAGGTTACAGTGAGCCAAGATCACACCACTACACTCCAGCCTGGGCAGAAGAGTGAGACTCCGTCTCAAAAATAAATAAATAAATACAAAATAAAAAATGTATTTTGGATTACATTATCAATGTAAGTCATGACCATGAACAAAAAGGATCCATAAATTGTACTTTTATATGTTAAAGCCATTTTTTAAAAAAACAGTAAAACATTACAACATTCAATAAGCTTTATTTGGGATCCAAGTTGAGAAATATCTCAGAATCAAATACTGGGAAAGGAGGTAAAAGAAAACAGCAAAATCCCACAAAACTATCTGCCCCTAGTAGATTTCTTCTTTTTTCATAGGTAAGAGTTATGCAGTGAGTTTCCTTTTTTGCCTTAGCTGGTGGGTTGCTCAAAGGCAAAAATCATGCTGATCTCCATATCTTGAACTTGGCTTGTTCTCCCCCCCAACTCCTGTGCTGTATTTTTCCCTTTCCTTCTTATTTTGTCTTCTTATTGTATTTCCTTGTTTTTTAGCTACCTGAAATCCTTTCTGGAAAGATACAGGGTATAAGTAAACTAAAAAAATTAAACATAGAAAAAGAAAAAAACAGGTACCACATATGAAATGTAGACATTTACTTATATTAAATGTAAACATATTTTGGCAGCCTGAGATCACTGGCAGAAATACATTATTAAAAGATCTAATTATGCACTATATTTTTAAAAATTTTTACTAAAAACACTTACCCGTCTATGCCTTTCTCTGTCTTTACATTTTTCTCGCACCCAATCAATAGTATGGAAATCATCATATGTACCAACACCTGGAATTGGTTCATCCAAAAGATCCAGTAAATGTGTAGAACTGTTAATGCTGCCTCCATTTGTCATTGTATAATGAGTTCCTACACAAGAAAAAAGGAAAGATGAGTATGTTTTAGAAGACACAATCGTGAGCTAAGTGACCTTCTTAGAAGTTCATTATCAAGTCATGCAGAAATAATATCACTTGAAATCATTTCAATTAGAGAAAAATGTTAAGAAAAATTATCCAAAACTTGGAAATAAGGCCAAAATATTATGGCATGTCCTTTTAAAGCTAAATCTGAGTGTCAACAATTAGCCTGCATAATAGTCACCTGATGCTCTGGAGAATTTTGAAGACTATTCTGATTAGGGAATAGACTCTGTAAAATTAGAAAATGACTTGTAAAAGATAAATTGAAAATAGTAATTTTTATCTGGTAAAATGCAAATGAATTCTGTCCAGTAGAAAAAATAACCCTTAGAGTGGTGGTTTTTGTTTTTGCCCTATAAGAATTTGCTTTCTTTCACTGATGATATACACTTCATCTCACACATGCTCCTCTCAGTCAGCCTTGTCATCAGGCAGGTTCCCTCATTAGAGTCAAATAAATCTGACACATGTTCATCATATATCTTATATGAGTATCACAGACTTGAGAAATGTATCAGGAAGGACATTAAAAGATAGCTCAAGAAAAAGAAATACAAGTGGCTTTTAAATATGAAAATAAGCTCAATCTAACACATAAAAAGAAACACGAATCAAATCCACAATATCATTTCCCTCTATCAGATTAGTAAAGATGAAGTGTGTGAATGCACTAAGTCAGCAAAGCTTTGGAGAAAGAAGTCCTATCACAAAATTAGTAGTTTAAGTATGAAATGGAATAATCCCTTTGGGAAGGTGAAAGCTAACAAAATTTAATATACACAGATGCTCTTCAATCTAGCAAGTTCACTTCTAGGTTTTTTTTTCTTGCAGCTACACTTGCATAAATCCTTGAATAAACCCATAAATTATGCAGAATGTGGGCAGAACATCTTACTATGTGCTACAGAAAGAAAACAAAAACATATTAATGCCAAAGTGCTTATAATCTAAAACGGGTTGGCAAAGAGCCAGAGAGTAAATATTTTAGGCTTTGGATGCCACATAGTTGCAACAACTCAATTCTGCCATAGTAGCACAAAAGAAATCATAGACAATATGTTCATGAGTGAGTCTGAATGTGTTCCAATAAAACTTTATTTACAAAACAGGTGAAGGAGAGGATTTGGCACATGGCTCATAGTTGCCAATCCCTGATCTAAAGTCTGTATGGCAGACTTTACAACTGAAGACTTCTATTAAGAATTTTTTTTATATAAATAGCACTTTACAGTGTAGCAGATACAAAGATAATTAAAAAAAAAAAACAAAACTACCCCTGACTTCCAGATGCAATATATTTTTATAATGTAACAAATTACATTTCAAAGTAAGTTCAAATACTAAAGTTCCAAAGTTGCAATATTCTTTGACTACAATTCTAGTCATGTTACTTATATTTAATTTGTTAAAAAGAAAGAAATCTTGGGACTGTAGCACCTGGAACTAGGTGGATTAATCTAAGAAAACTTCCTAAAAAATATGAATTTTAAATTGTAATTTGAAATAAATTAGGCTATGGTTTCACAATGAGAATTATAGTTATACATTCCATGTTAGATACACTTAACACCTACTTCTGAAGGAAGAAACATATATGAGTATAGTCTGTAAAAGACAATTTATATTACTGTTAGAAAAAGAGTTTGGGCCAGGCGCAGAGGCTCACACCTGTAATTCCAGCATTTTGGGAGGCTGAGACGGGTGGATTGTTTGAGCTCAGGAATTTGAGACCAGCGTGGGCAACATGGCAAAACCTCATCTCTACTAAAAATACCAAAAAAAAAAAAAAAAAAAAAAAAAAGCTGGGCACGGTGATATATGCCTGCAGTCCCAGCTACTCAGTAGGCTAAGTTGGGAGAATTGCTCGAGCCCACGTTGGTTGTCGCGCCACTGCATTTCAGCTGGGCCACAGAGCAGGACGCTGTCTCAAAAAAAAAGGAAAAGAAAAGAAAAAGAATTTAGAGTGTAAAAAACAGGCTGGGTAAGAAATATGATAATCCAAGTGAAAATTATTAGACTTGACAGTGGAAGTAAAGAGATACAAGCATTTTGGGAAGCAATTTGGAAATACCTATCAAAATATGAGGGTTCTACTTCTAGGAATTAATTCTACAAGTGCACAAAGGCTTAAATGTTTAATTGAACCATTATTTGTAATACTGAAAAATTCAAACCAATGGAAATGTCTCATCTATTGGTAATGAATGAAATCATGTAATTTATATATAATGCAGCAGTTAAAAAGAATAAGGTTGATCAATATATACTGGTATAAAAAACTGGCTACAATATATGGCAGCTTTTAAAAAGGATGAGGTGTAGATCAGCATTTTTAATATGCAAATTACTGTGTAAAATTTATACAGTAATACACAGAATACAGAGAAAACAGTTTGACCAAACATGAGACAACATATTAATAAAGGTTATCTCTGGGGATTAGAACTGTCAAAAGCAGAAAGTGAACTTTCATTTTCTACTTTGTACTTACAGGTATACATATATGTATAAGCACACACAGTATTTTCATAGAACCATGGAGACAGCTATGAAAATAGAGAAATTCTAATGAATCCAATCATCAATTAAGTAAACAGAGCAATGAATTATTACCAAAAGGCCCAGATTCTAGTCCTGGACAGCTGAGTAACTTTAGACAAGTCACCTTTAAATATTAAGTATCTATCAGCATCCTTGACAACTATATGATATATGCTACAGTTTATAATAAAGATACATAAACAAAGAAACATTTAAAATTTTTTCAAAGCACTATGAACTTTGAAAACCTCATACAAAATTTCAAATAGGTGATTTTAGCATAAGTGATTATAAATTATATCCTCAAATTATTTAGTAACGCAGATTTTAATGCCAAAAATTACCCAGAGTTTATTATTGAAAATGTAACTAATTATTTGATATAGAATATAAGAAGTGGCACTCTATACTAATGTTTAAAAAAACACTGTAAAAATAAAACACACGATATGCTTATTTTATTATAGGACTTTTAAGGAATGGAGCAAAATTACCAGACTACTCTTGCCATCTTTCTGGTTTAAACAAACTCATTCTCCTGTGTTTACAGATAAATAAACAATTATAGATGTTAAAGCCAGAATCTGAACTTTTCATAATCACTATAAACATTCTCAGACTAGAGCAAGAAATCATTTGAAATCAGTTTGGGGGTGGGATAAGGGAGGAATGCACAAAGAACCACGATGCCAATACTATTAACTAATTTTATTACCGCTGAGATATAAGACAAATAAACTATAGAGTAAGTTTTTTTGATAATTCTAAGAGGCAGTAAGAACAGACATGAATATAGAAGGGGGTAATATTTTATTAACATTTATTAGTACTGTAATAATTAGTACTGTAATAGTACTAATAAATGTTTGTTTGCTTCTACCAGGTCCAACAGGGTTCTCGCTTATCTCCCTATATATTACTTTAAATGCCTGGATTGGAAGCCCGGAGTGGTGGCCCACGCCTGTAATCCCAGCACTTTGGTAGGCTAAGAAGGACAGATAGATTGAGTTCAGGAGTTGGAGACCAGCCTGGGCAACATGGTAAAACACCATCTCTACAAAAACTAGCTGGGCACGGTGGTGTGCACCTGTAATCCCAGCTACTCAGGAGGCTGAACTGCGAGGACTGCTGGAGCCTGGGAAGTAGAGGCTGAAGTGAGCTGTGATTGCACCAACGCATTCCAGCCTGGGCGACAGAACAAAACTCTGTCTCAAAAAAAAAAAAAAAGTGTACCTTGGAAAGGTGTAAAACTCCTAAAAGGAGAGTGGCGCACTGATTTGAGTGTTTTAGCAGAAGTACTCCAAAAAATACATGTAATAATAATTGATACCATTCTTGGCCAAAGGTTTAAAGGCCCAATCCCTGCATCATGATGCCCATGTTCATTTACATACAACACATACTCAAAAGCTTAAACTTAAAGCTTTAATAAAGCTCTTCCCTGCCCCCTCATCCTAATTTGATGTAGTGACTTCCACTTTGAAAAAGCTACCTGAAAGGCCGCACATTTTCTTGAGAAAAAGCAATTGGAGAATAAATATATAAGGAACACTTATAATATCTTGACATATGTGAGAATCTCTGACTGCTTTCCACATAATATTAAAACTGATCATTTAGAAAATGCATTTGCAGGGAAGAATCAAAAGCCACTTATGGCTTTCTGGTAAGATGTACAGTACTTCTGTGGTATTCTGACCAAAAATGCGTAAAATGAATCTTACAAGGAAAAACCAGATACACCCAAACTAAGGGAAATTCTGCAAAATATATGGATTGTACTCTGCAAAAATGTCAAGATTATGAAAGATAAAGAACTGAGGAACTGTTCTAGATTAAAACAACTAAATGTAACATGTGCACCAGGATTAGCTCCTAGACCAGGGAAAAAACCTTTTTTCTTTTGTACTAAAGGACACAGTGGGGCAACTGGCATACTGGAAAATGGTCTGCAGATCATGTCATACTATGGTATCAGCGTAAATGTTCTGATTTTGAAAAGTGTAGAAGTGTACGGTAGCTATACAGAAGAAAATGCCCTTTCTTGAGGGAATACACACTGAAGTATTTAGGAATAAAAGCATGTTACATCTGCATTTTACTCTTTACATGGCTCAGAAAAAAACATATAGTGCATACATGCCCTGTATCTATATAAAATGCTACTTATTACATATAATGGCATATACAGTACTTGGAGAATAGAGACATAATGAACAAATGTGGTAAAATATTAACATTTCAGGAACTGGGGTGACAGGTATATGGGATTCTTTGCACTATTTTTAAACTTCTGTAAGTCTGAAGTCACTTTAAGAAAAAGCCTACCATGAAATATTTTGCAAACGTCGTTTTCCCTCCTACATTGCCCTTCTCTGGGTAGAGCTGAAGAAACATGGACTACTG